ATCTGCCCAAATTAGTCTACTGGATATTATTAAAAACTGGATCATTGGATAATGCAATTCAAGACTTCTAATTGGCTTAGCCATTATGGTATATGAGCCAATATACCATAATCTAATATCTGTACATTGTAACATCTGGTTTCTTCTTACAAAATAAAGTCGAGAAGATTTGTCTAATATCTTGGGAGCGTTTTTTTTAATAAAACAATTATTCCACTTGCTCTTGTTGGATTTGAGATGATTATAGCCAACTCAGCGCTACGCGCCTCGTTGGCTATCTATCATCTCATATCCAATGCGCGCTCATGGAATAATTGTTAAATATACCATGGTTAGTGAGATTTCCTGTGATGACATTGTCCATTATTTGAACAACTAGTAATAAATCTGTTACATGAAGCAGACATACTCTAGTACATTACACTGTTCTAAGGAGTATTAGAATAGGGTGGATCTAGCATAAAAGACTCACTTTGCCCTAAACTGCTTGCACCACAACATCTACGTCAAAAAGGATGGTACTATTTTTATGTGCATAATAATTCTTTCTAAACTGGGGAAACTCTGTGATGCTGCAACTACCAATCTCTTTCATGAGGTTCTCTGTACTCCAGGCCAAGATAATCAAACACATCTTTTTCACTGAATACTGGAAGTGGAGTGCCTTCAAAAATCTTTTCACTTCCCTTCCGAACCACATCTTTATTTAAGGAGTGCTCTGAGAGGGACATGTCATTCTTCTTGGCAAGAAGTCTCATAGACCTGTTAAAGTAGTCAGAACCAGTAAAGTATAACAAAGAACAGGCCCACTCATTGTAAGGGACAACAATGATTTCCAAACGTCTGTGCTTTGTATCTTCCCCAGGGAGTTTGCAAACTCCAAGGTATTTTCTATGCTCCCCACTATCAGACAAGGTAAGGTCATCCGTAATCAATCCTGTGGATTTTAGACGTTCTAGCAGTTTTGCCATAACCCCTTCATGAGATTTACCATCTGGGTGTGACACAATGACGTCCACATCACCACATGTTGGTTTCCCTCTTCGGTAGGATCCACAAGCAAAAGCTTGTAATCCTGAGTTTATCTCAATTGCAGCCTCTTTCACAACTTCCTCAATCTTTCCAGCTTCCTCTCGTGGCATTCTCTCTAGAAATTCATCATAGTACTTCAAGCCAATCTCTTGTTGTCTTGTTAACTTCCCATGCTGCTTAAGATCCTCAAGAGTTTTTAGTCCCTGAGAGACCCAAGCTTCCGCAGTTGTAGGCCCAGCACCCCAAACACCAACAAACAAGTTTAGAGCATTCTGTTGAGGATCCACATGATCAAGCCTTCGCAAATGACCAGTCTGAGATATTTCCCATATTTTCTTAGCAAGACGCTCTCCAACAAATGGAAGGTTGCTACATTCTTCCCAAGTTTCAAGTCTTTTGTGATAATTTTTTACTGATGCTATAGCTTTCTTATATCCCAGAGCTCTCCACTGATCTTTGGTGTTGGCATATGCTGTTGCAAGAACTTGAAGCTTGTCAGTTATAAGTTGGTTGTGATTCTGTTGCTTTGAGGTACAAGCTTGTGCACATACCCAGGTTGCATTTCCAAGTTTCTCTGGAGAAGTGTTTGGTGTAATAACAGGAGATCTGTCTGATTTGCTTCCCTCATCACCACTATCAATATAATCGCTGTCATCGTCTACTTGAGTTTTTGAGGTCGAGTGTTTTGTTGGAGACTTACTAAAAGTAAAAGTTACTGTGTTATTTGATGAAATTGCTGCAGTTTTTAGTGCTGTATTTGAAGTTCCCTCTTCAACACTTGCCACTGATATCTGATTTTGATCACCGGTTTCATTATTCGATGCTTTTTTAACAGCTTTGCCTTCATCTTTACACCCATCGTCCTTACCCAAAATGTATCGCTGTAAATCTACGAGTTTCCCCTCGGATAGACACTTGCTCAGCCATTCAGAATCCACTAAGTGTACTTCTTCTGGAATAGCTTCTACTCCTAAAGACTTTGTCAGTCTTTCCTTATTTAGTTTCTTGTCGATCAATACGTGTGTTGTGGAGCTTTCCAAGTTCTGTTGGTGCTTTCCCCCATGTCTCTCTAACTGTTTTGCCAGAATGGACGCACGCGTTTTCCCGAGACCAACCTCTACGATCACAGCTCTGACACCAGAAAGATCAAGTGAAATCTTTTGCTTTTTCCTTGTGTCGTTCTCCAGTGAGGATGCTCGCTTTTTCGACGTAGCTTTCATTGTTTTGGTTTGGTAGTTACTTGAACTTGAACAGCCAGTAGTCGCCATCTTGGTTAGTGCCCAGTGTCTTCTTCGCGACACCGTTTGTGGATGTCCTGGGGTCTAATTTAAACTTCTTGTTGTCTTTCAGGGAGTTTTGCTTTCTTGCCAGTTGCAGCCGATATTGAACTTTTTAGTGCGATCACAATTTGATCCTGTCTTACCATACCTTTTTTTATGGAGAGGGAGGGGGCAGATCAGAGGGATGAGAATCTTCGATTGCTTTCTCTATCGTGATCTCTTACATTTTTCTCACATTAATTCGCACTTAGTTCTTATTAACCTAGCGGGAGGTCTGTATGGGAGAATCTTGACCGAGGTCGCCAGTACAGACCGAACGCAGTGAGGTCTGTACCGGCCTC